AATCATTCAATCCAATGCTATTTCCAAGGCTGATTCTTATGGCTGGTCCGACAACCTCTCATCAACAAGGCCACCCACATGACCGGTCTGGCGGTCATTCTCTCAATAGCCATTCTCAAGACTGACTCTTCCGCCCACTCAATCCTCAATTTTTTTCATTCCTCAACACCCAATCTCTGTGACCGTCCCAACGGTCCCTGCCCTTCTCGGCTTTAAGGCGCCGCCTTCTTTATCCTGTCCTTCTCATTCACATCTTTCTTCCGCCCCCTTGGCTATTTCAGCGGCCGACCCACCGACCCTTTTCATCTCTTTCATCCATCCCTTTGGCTTATTTCAATGACCGACCCGCCGACCCTTTCCATCTCTTCCTCTCATCCCATTTGCTATTTCAATGACCGACCCACCGGCCTTTTCCATTTCTCTCATCCCATTGGCTAATTCAATGACCGACCCACCGACCCTTTCCATTTCTCTCATCCCATTGGCTACTTCAATGACCGACCCACCGACCCTTTCCATTTTTCTCATCCCATTGGCTATTTCAATGATTGACCCACCGACCCTTTCCATCTCTTATTGCTCATTCCAACACGTTCTCAATCAACCTTTCTTAATCAAATATGCAGGGGACCCCAATGCCTATTTCAAAAGGAATGACCCTTATCAGGGGCCATTCCCGAACAACCTGGTTAGGGTCGTTATTTTCCATTCTCAAGTCGAACACCCTGGTTAGGGTCATTCCTTTCCATTCTTAAGTCGAACAGCCCGGTTATGGCCATTCCTTTCCATCTTCAAGTCGAACAGCCTGGTTAGGGTCATTCCTTTCCGTTCTCAATGTTAGTGCCCGAGGGGGTGGGCCTCGAGGTTATGGATCCCATTTCTGTCTTGGAGGTTAGAAGGTGCTCATCTCATCTTTTGCGTGTTGTTCTTTTTTTTCTATTTCTCACAGTAATGTACCATCCATTCCATTTCTCACAGTAATGTACCATCCATGCGTACATCCGACTTAGCGTCTAGCACTCGAGTTGGGGCTCGCTACCCCAAGCAGCACTAGCCCATCCGGCCATTCATCCATAACAAAAGACAAAGACGCCCCTTTTTTTTTTCTTCACTCGTTCCGACAACTCAGATCTTGACCATTCTCAGACTAATTCATGACTTAGTTGGATTAGGCTCCTAGGGAAGGAGTGTTCCCCACGCCCGTTAACCCATTGGTTCCCTAACCTTTCTTGTACTCGACCAATCATTCAATGCCATAGTTCGCTCGTCAATCCGTACTCAAGGTTTTCCTCTCTCAAAAGCATAATCCTTGTTCCATCTAGAATTCTCAATACACCCTCTCCCAATTGGTCTCGTCCCAAATCCCATGTCTTTGTCTTGTGTACCTACTTTCGAAGGTAACTCATTCAAAAGTAGCCTCAATATGCTATCTCCTAATCTTATCACGATACAGCCTTAGCTGACCCTTCCATCACTCATTCTTTGCAAGCTTGCCCATACTATACACGTTTTCGTCATTCTCATGTCTCTGCAGACGGAAAAGCAGCGATCCTTTTCAATGCTAAGTCAACACCTAGTTCATATTGCTGCCTTGCGCCTTATCTTGCCCAGTTCCTTGTCCACCCCGTTCCTCGGCACGTTTCCTAACCCCCAGGCCGTAGGTCTCGATCTTTCTTTTCATCCTTACAATTTTATGCAACTCTGCCTCGTTAAAAAAATCCAGTGGTGTGGCTTCCACCGCTGCCCTTGCGAGTTCCCGAATCTTGATAATCCATTCGTGCCTGATTACATTGGTCCATTGCTGAAACCAATGACTGAGCGTTGACCCAAACTCGTCCTCCCATCTGAAAGCCCCATCGCCCGGTTGGTGCACCAGAGGCCGCCCCTCTTCCCTAGGCCTTGAGATCTCATCCCTCTCATCCCCGCTGCTGATTTCTATGACTTCTCGCACATCCTCCTCCTCGTCCCCCTCGTCTTCAGTCTGTATGGGGCTATACCCACCAGCAAGGTTCTTTGGATCGTAGGTAAAAGGGATCTCTGCCCTCGTCCCATACCCCTTGCAACTGCCGTGACCACTTCGTCCTTCAAGCGGGCTCTCCCTTTTCTCCTCGTCGTCCTCACGTTCGTCGCGCATACCTTGTCCCCCCTCGCTTTCCCCATGCCAAGTCTCACGTCCTTCACCCCTGTTGACCCCTTCCTCGTTAGAGACTCGAACCTTATCTCCCATTTCTATGTTGCCTCCTTCTTCCACATTTGCCCTTCCCTTTTCGCCCTCACTGTCAGATGATATTTCTATACCTTCTCCCTTGCGGAGGGGTGAGGGTTTCCTACACAAGCATTTCCTTCCACCCCGGCCTACTACTGGGCCACCCGTGAGTCAAATGTACAATTTTCTCTTTGCTGTCCTCCTCCTTTGGCGTGGTCCAGCTTCTTCCCCTCCGGTAGGCCTGTTGATTGCCCCGCTGTCGTTCTTCTTGTCGAATTCCATTTTTGTCTTTTCTCGTTTTACTCCTAAGCCCTGTATAACAAAACAACACCCGCAATGTCCCTCATACACTCGCGCCTTCCCCCCCTTTTAGGCCGATAGACATTCCCAAAATGCACCCAGTATCCCTCGCATCATGCTCCTTTTATACATGCGAATGCGTGGTTTGTGACGACCCCATTTTTTTCCCGTAAAAAACTATGGTACAATGCCCCAAACATCCCTTCCCGTTGTCACACAAGCCAGATATTGCAAACCCCCAAGTCATGCTGCCTTTCAACCTAAGTCAGTCCAAGCCAAAGCGTCAGTCCCAAAAAAAAATAACAATCCCACGAACATGGTCACAGACAAACCATAGTGTGGGCAAGGCTGTGGCCAGTCTTTCGCTTGTGGCTCCTCAGTTTCCTTATCTTCGGCCTCCTGAAGCTGTTGTTCTACTGGGTCCCGACTTAGAAACCTGACCAGTCGTTGCCTCGGGAAAGACCCTTTCAATCCAGTTCCATCAAAATCTTCCAGTTCGAAGGTGTTCAGTCCCACCCGCTTGGTGACCCGGTAGGGGCCTTTGAACCTCCTTCCCAACTGTCCCGACCAAGTATTTTCTAGTGCCAAGTTCTTTAGCAATACCATCTCCCCCACCTGAAGTGGCTCCTTTCTGACATTCTTAACCTGGTCCCACCTTGCTTTGTCCCTCATTCTGTTGTCCAGCACCCGGTTGGCGATGTCTTCCATGACCTCCTCGTTCTTAAGGATTTGTTGACATCTTGCCTCGATTAACTCTTCAGTGGTCATTTGCGGATCATCATCTAACATATTCCAGGTAGGTACCAAGGTTTCCACAGGAAAGTCGATCTCTCTTCCGTACCAGAGCTTTGCCGGGATACATCCTGTTGTCCTTTTTGGGGTCATATTCTCTGCAAAGACAGCCTGCTTAAGATACCTAGGCCAGTTCCCTAGATGGTCCGCTGCGAGCTTTGCAATCGTGTTCTTCAAGGTTCGGTGCCCCCTTTCCACAGGTGCATTATCCTCAGGGTGATACGGCTCGATGAGTTTGATCGGTACGCAGAGTCTCTTAAGCATCCCCAATACTTCTTGGTTCACAAACTTTGTCTCATTGTCTGCTATAAACCTCCTGACGAACGGATGCCTTAAATAAAAGTCTTCTATCCAGTCCGCCACACTTCTCCCTGTCTTTTTCTTGAGGGCGACTGCCTCCACGAACCCGCTCAAGTTGTCTCGCGCATCCAGGATATACCTGTACCCATCCGTTGATACAGGAATGACTGCAAGGTCGAGGTGGACCAGATGTCTCAGCCCTAGCACCCGCGTTGGTCTAAGCGTCTCGAAGACCCGCACCGAGCTTCGTTCTTGGCAAATAAGGCAAGTCTGGCAGTATATGGTGACCATGCCTGTCATGCCTGGCCAATAATAGAGTGGCATTATCTTTGCAGCTGTTCCTTTGGACGACTGATGACCTCCAGCCAACCCATCGTGCATTGCCTGGATAACATCCACTTGCCTAGATCTCCCGCACACAACCCTTCTGGGCATAGCACCTTCCTCCCTTCGGAACAAATGCCCCCCCTTAGGGCCCCCCCCTTAGGACGTACCTTTCGGCTTCTTCTCTTGCTTTAATACGGACTTCCGTAGGTTGTTTGTTTCCTACCAATAACAGCCCGATCTCCCGAAAGAGCCCTTCGTATGATTGGACATAGAAAAACTCCTCTCCTTTCTTGCCCTCATCCTTTCCTTCCTGCATCTGGTTTACCACCATTGCAACTCTTTCCTTTCCCAAGATTCCACTAAGCTCATCACCGCTTCCTGGCCTCCCTCGACTGCCATTGCCATTAGTTCCTCTTTCGGTCCTACTATCGCTCCCCATGAGTCCTTTTCTTCTCTGCGTCCTTGAGTGGTAACTGGTCCTTCTCTAAGTGCTGCTACTACGGCAGGTGCCCCCTTCTCCAAAGTCAAGATCAATAGTTCTGCCGATGTGCATTCCCCGCTCATCATTTCGTTATCCACTGCGAGAGTCTCTCCTTCGTATTCGAGGAATGCGTCTATGGGTTCTGCATCCTCCATCCCTTCGGGAGTGATGCAAACCCGACTCAGTCCATCTGCCTTGTTGCGGATTCCAGCAATCCGTTCGATCTTGTAATCGAACTKCCAGATRAATCMTACCCATCTCCCTAYCGTCRGATCTATARGCCTGTARTTCTTTARAKCCCMTGCGASATTCRTCGGATCGATCCTTAAGATGAACCGCCTCCCAAATAGGTAGGTCTGGAAGGTCTTAAGGCAATGCAGGATGGCTATGACTTCCTTCTTGAATTGCGAGTACCGCCATTCTGCGGAGTTCAGGGTTCTACTTTCAAACCTAATCGGCCTCTTTTTTCCTCCCTCATCCCTTTGAATCAACACACCTCCTACGGCCAAAGGTCCTTCATCCGTCTCTAGGATGAAGGTTCGTCCCACTTCGTCATTAAAACAAGGCCCGGACAGGGCGACTGTCTCAGATGTCAATATGTCCTTGAGCCTTTGGACAGCTCCTTCTCGCTCCTCCGTCTAATCCATGGTTCCTTCTTCCTTGATCATAGCCTGGATAGGCTCAACAATCTTGGCAAAGTTCTTAATGAAGATCCTCCAAAAGCCGACTACGCCTAGGAATGCCCTTACCTCCGTCGTCGTGCGCAGTGGTGTCGGCCACTGTGATATCTTGTCGGTCTTTGCCGGATCCGGCTTCCTGCCATAAGCACCGCAACGAAATCCTAGTATAGTTACCTCCGGTACTGCTAGGATACTATTTGGTCCACTAGCCGTAATGTTGTATACTAGGAATCGGCGGAGTAAGTCCTTGATGTCCAGCAAGGCGGTCCCACACAAAACGTCGGATCCCTGGCTGGACTTCCGTCTCATCCTTTTCCTGCGCGCCTTTGATCGGATTGTCATCGATGTAAGGTTCACATTTTTATGGGAACATGTCCCCGGCCACGGCGAGCATCCTGCGTTGCGCTTCGGCCACCGCGTTTGTGAATCCCATAGGTGTCACTTGCATCTGCAGCTGGCCTATGGGGGTGTGCATAGCGGTGTATGGCCTGTCCCGAACGTCCAATGGAAGCTGGTCGTACCCTGAGTACAGATCTATCAGGGAGTAAATGCTCCGACCGGCGTGCGATTCTGCTAATAAGTCAGCCTGAGGTTCCCGGATGGTTACCGCATTCAACTTCTGCAGGTCCTGAATCCACCTTAGTGTCTTGTTAGGCTTCCGAAAGACGAACCACCGATTTGCGTATGACGATGTCGTAGGCTCCGCAACGAAGGAGTCCATCTTCGCTCGGAGGAGGCCTGTTACTTCTCCTGCTATCCCAAATTCATAGGATGGCCCCTTGTCATTCCAGCACTCATGTTCTATCGTGTGGATTCTGACCGACGGGATCAACTTCGCATCCAGTCATTCCCTCTGGTGATCACTAAAGACAAATGTCAGGTGAAACTCCTGGCATGTCCTTTTGATCAGGCGGGTTTTTTCTTCCGTTAAGAACCCGTCTATCCCTATCTTCATTGTGTCCGCTACCTCATCTGGTATCCGATGTCCCTCTGTCGCCCTTCTTTCTCGGATCACTCGAAGGACCTCTTCCTCCTTCTCCATAACCTCTTCCTTTGATGTCTCTAGCAGGATCGAGACCGGTTTTGCTTTCTTCCATACCGGCTTGTACTTTCGAACACTTCCTTCTGGGATCTTTCTTCTAAAAAATGAACAGTCGGAATTGCTCTCGTCGCCTCTTCGACTCGTGGTTGAATACTAACCAATTTTCCATTCAGGCAATATCCCTTTTGCACCTCTTTTTCGAACTTGGTCAAGGTTGCCGAATCCACTCCTACCTTGTGGTATCTGAGGGTCTTGATGAGTTGCAATAGATCGGGGATCTCGAGTGCGATTTCCGACACGTCTATGCGTACGTCTTTCTGATTGGGCAGGCTAGCACCAAGTTCAACCTTTGACTCCTTTTCCGCTACCATAACACCTAGGACTTCGTCCTCCTGCCTCCTCTTCTTCTGGGGCAGGCCCATCTTGATCCACTCCTTCTTGTTGAATGCTTCCTCAATCATGATTTCTACCCTTTCTCCCATACCCTCCATCTGTGCGAAAACCCCTTTCCACGTGCTATCCTCGAACGACGGCGACCATGTTGCCAATTTCTCCTTCGGGGGGTCTCCTCCCGTTCCAAGGAGTCGGAGGAACTCTCCTCTGTCGGTCACAGGATCCTTTATGTCTACCATGTATGAGCCATCGTGCAAGTGCATGCCTATCATCTCCACGTTCGCGCACAATGGTCTCCCGAGGATCACGTCGTGGTCCATTTCCTCAATTACGGTCATCCGCTGAAACAACCAGATCGATTTTTTGTACCCCTGCCTTCACAACACACTTCGTGACGTACCCAGCGAACGAGATTTCTCTCCCAGCTCCCCGGATGCTCCCCGTTACTTCCTTGTTTACCGTACATCCCGTCATCGTTGCGAAATCTCTCCTTATGAGAGTGATTTCTGCTCCCCCGTCTACTAATGCGTCGGTATGATGACTCCCGGTCTGGATTTTCAGTTTCCCTACGGGTAGCGCATGAAAGCTAAGCTTCGTCCCGGGTGGCGATCTCATGACTTCGCCGCCTTCTCGGTCGGGCAAGCTCAAACGAATGTCTGCAAAGGCCTTTTCGAGATCCTCCAAATCCCCGTGACTCCTCTGAAGGTTGGCCACTTCTTGCGGAGCTTCCTCCTCCCTCTCCCCCTCTGGTAATTTGGGGTTGTCGCCTATTTCTACTCGCCTCCGCGTCAACAGTTGTCTGAGCCCTTTGAGCAACCTAGGGCTAGTCTGCAGCATGGTCTGAAAAGACACCGACACCATGGTTCCTAGTAACTTGTTAATGGTATCGTCGAGCTCAGGCAAGGTTAAGATCGGGATTTGATACCTAAACTTCTTCTTAGTGGCGGTAACATTGTTCGCAGGCTCCTCTTCCCTAGGCTTCCCATAGACTTTCTCTGGTTTCTCGGCCTCAGGCTCCGCCTGGGGTTCGGAGCTTCCGGCGACCTCCTCCATAATGGTGTCGCAGTTAATCCTTCTCTCGGTCGTTCCCAGTCGAGTGGTTGCGTTCACCCTATCACGTCCGTCGCTTTCCAAAATAAAGTTGGCCTGCGGCCCGCGCCCCCGGAACTGATCCCAAATGATCTCGCCCACCCGCTCGGCTTCTACGGCTGTTATTTCTAGCCCGTTGAGAATGATAATGACTCGCCCCATCTCTCCTGGTGAGTTCCAGTTCACCCGTTCCCCTTGTGGTCCAAATATCTCCCCCTTTAATGACCTGGTACACCTTCTTTTCAGAATATCATGATTGAGCTTTGGGCACGCGCGCACATAATGTCCTATCGCGGTGCAGTACTTGCATGCTCGTTAGCAGGATCTCTCCGTCCGAATCCCCGGTTTGCTACACCTGGCGGAACCACAACTTCCTGGGGAGGGAGGGCAGGTCGGGATACTTGCGCTTGCATAACCAGTAGCGCACTTTCCATCCTTTCAATCTTATTGTCGACCCCGTGCACCCATTCATGTAGACTTTCGATCCCCTTCTTTACCTTGTCGCCCGTCTTACCGGTCAGATCTATGATCTCTCCTTCCTTGAGCAAGACCAACGTCTCCGTTACTACCGTTTTCTCAGCCAGATCCGTTACCGTGCTAAAATCAACATCCCGCGTGTTTACGAACTTGCTCGTCTGTTGGTAAGCTGACAGGATCTTGTCTTTGTCGAACTCGGAGAACTGCCTGAGGAAATATTTGCTCATTATCCGGTCCGTGACCCCGGGGATCCTTAGTGCTACCAGAGTAAATTCCCATAGGAAATCATTGTACGTTGCGAAGTTCTTCCTCTTAATTGCCGCTAGGTCGGCCTCCGTTGCCATTTTCTCAGCCGCTAGGTACTTCCTCATCATCACATCCCGGGTCTCCTTCCAAGACCGGCTTGCGGCTACAATGACCATTATGTCCCGTCTTAGGCTTAATGACTCATGCTGTCCTAGATGGTCCATCTTTTCCTCCTCGGTCCACTTTAGTAACGCTGCTAGGTTCTCGTAGTCGATCAGAAACTCCGTGATGTTTGTTCCATCGAAAGTCAGTTTTTTCTTGGCGTCTGTTAGATAGCCTTGATTTTTGTTTAGTGCTCGCGCGAGGGACGACACTATCTTCTTAAGACCGCCCTCAGAGCTGCTGGTCTCGTCTGCCACACTGTTATCTGAACTTTCCTTGTCGGTTTTCTGTCCCTTCCTGGTTTTCATAGTTCCTTCTGGGTCAAACCATCCCAACACTCTTTCCTTAAGGCTCCAAAGTCCTTCGCATCCTCGCGCTACTGCTGGCGCGATCGGCAGGCGGCTAGCCCTACTGTCCATGGCTGGCGGAGTCGTAGCCTTTTCTGCTTCCACCCCTGAGAGTTCTCTCTCTCTTTCCTTCTCTTGCTCGGCGTTCCCCCACGGTCACTACCTTTATCCCCTTGTCCAGTCCCACCTTGGTTGGCTTTCCGTTCGTCCCGGGGTTCCTCTTGAAGAGGGCCTTCTTCGTTCCCAGTCATCATTTCCTCAATCAGTCTTGCCTTGTATTCCGTGGTCCTCTTGTCTATCTCGGTTAGTTTGCGCCTCGTGTCCGTGACCCTTACTTTCTTAGGCATGACTCCTTCCGAGTTTCGGGGGCTTGTCCTATCCTTATTTCTGCCTTCCTTGGTCCCTTGGGTTCCTTGCCTGCTTCCCCCGACATTCCCCGAGCTTTCTCCTGTGGAGATTTCCTTCCGGCTCCCTTTGGTACCATCCGGATTTATCAATTCTATGTCCTTCTGCCCCCCTTCGTTTTGCGCGGCACTGCCTTCTAAGCGTGGTTCTCCTTCACTCTTACGGTTATCTGTCTCCTCCTCCGTTGCCATTTTGCCTAGTTCTGCATAAGCCAAAGAATTCCCAGAACACACGCAATGCGAGGTTTTTAGGTTCCCTAGGCTCGCAGCTCTGTTGGCTTATCTTTATAGTCTCCTTTCCTATCCCCGTTTCCTGATTGCCCTTCCTTAAGGAGGAGCCACGACTGGCCCTGCCGCCCAACCGAGCTATGAACGTGACTGGATTTCCTTTATCACAAGCTCGTTTGTAGTGCCCTTGTCCCGTCGGCCGACGCGAGGGAGTCCGGGTTAGGCATCCTGCTAGGGGAAGTCTTCCCGAGCAGCGTTTCCCGTTTTTGACCTTCAGGGTTATGGTCAATCATTAGGAGTCTGCCCCCCCCTTCTTTGTTTTTCTAGTGGGTTTTAACCATCCAGGTCCGAGGCCCCTTTCTTATTCCCATCGGCGAACTTCCGTACGCAGCGAACTATACTCGATCTGCCCTATTGACCCGCCTGCGGATGCTTATCTCGCCCTCGCGGCTCTTCTGGCTCGGTAGGCTCCTCGAATAGTTGAGACACCCCCGTTAGATAATTCTCCCCTATCTCGATTTCCCTTTGGATTATGCGTTCGCACCCTGTCCAGTCTAGCCAGGGCGCACAAAACATCAGGATGTGGATGACTTCTAGTAATTCGTGGGCCCTGTTTCCCCAGAACGGCCCATGCTCCATAGCGACATCGTAGAACATCCCAATGGTAGGGGAGGAAAACTGGCCTGCCCAGACTATCGCTGAGTCTGCCAGCTCTGGCGCCCTTGTGAGGCTTCCGAAGACGAGGTTTATCATAAAACGGGGCACTCGGCATCTCAGTGGTGTGGTCGGTGCCCTGAACTCCCTCCAACCTCTCATTTCCACCCGGGTTAGCAAGCCCACGTTCCTTCTTCCCCTTACCGAATGTCCTATCCGGGTCAACGTCCGGGCGACCCTTTGAAAGACTGGTGCAAGCTTGTGACCTTGTGCTATCTCTACCCGCAACGAATGCCAGCCGATCTCAGGCAGATACATGGTCCCTGTAACCTCCAGATTGGAGAACAGATCGTCTCCGGGTCCTCGGTTGAGTATCATCCCTGTCCACCGACATTCTACTAACATGAAGGCGGCGTCCCTTCCCAAAGTCATGGCCCGCCATTCTGTGTCGAACCCCTCATAGGTAGAACTCGATGGGAGGGATACTTCCCATCATCCACCATTGTTCCAGGGCGGTCCGGGGTACCGGGGTTGACGTTCAATTTGCACACGGGGCTGGCGTTCCACTCGCTCACGTCTTGCTGCCATTGTTTCCTTGATGATTTCCTGCATAGTCCACATAGAAAGGGTTACAGCCAATCTTCAGAATCCGCCCACCTACTGTCTCCCTTGCCCTTCGTGTTTTCATTTCTCTTTTCTAGTCCCAACTATCCCTCTATACCCCCGGGAGCAGTAGCCTCCTCTTGCTATTCGTACAGCCGGTAAAGATCATCTATGTAGGTCGCGCCCCGACCTACCTCTCGCCGGATGACTCTCCACATGGTCTCATTGCTTATCTGTGGGACTCCTGGCCTAGTATTTACCGCAACTCGTAGAATGCAGAGCACCTCGCGCCCTTGTTCGTCCCCGAAAGGCCCCATCTCTAGAAAGGCCCGATAGTATTCTCGATACATTAATGCTTCGTCAAAATTTAGCCTAGTTACGGCAGTCACCGCCTGCTCCACTCGTTCTATGCCTCCCATTTGTCTTAGCACGAAGGGTGGTAGACTCATCCGCACGACCTCATTTGGCAGCTCGAAAACCCCCGGCGCGGCGACTTTTACCTCCGCCATTCCGTCATCTCGTTCCGGGTCTGCAAACTCAAACCCCTCCCGCCAGGTTATTTGCCATGCCCCTTCGAACATTCGCATGGGGTCATCCCCGGAAGCCAAAGCAATCCCAAAGGTCCGCCATCCCTCTTCCGACAGGTGTAAGGATCCCGTCGCATGTACACGCCCTGGGCGGTTCAAGTCTATGCCCTCAAACTCCCCTCACGCCCGCCATTCCAACTTCACTACTAGGTACACCGTATCTTCCACCAACTCTACCCCTACCCAGTCCATTACCGGATTGCCTACCGTACTCCTTGCCGGCAGGCTTATTTCAACCCTGCCCTCTGATATTCTTGGTGGCAGGATCCCACGAGGTCTATCCTCCCAGAACGTCATTCGTCGGGCCATCTCGCAATGTCTCATTTCCGACTTTCTTAGTCCGATTGCTGCACCCACCGAGATTCCATGCCTTTCGAGTTTTAGTCCTTCAGCCCTCCCTACTTATCGTACACTGGTTCTTGTCGCTATCCACGACTCATACACATTCAATTCTACCCCCCCCCCCCATTTTCCAGTTGTTGTCACTTCCCCCTTGTTTCGATCCTTATGCACTATCTACGACCTAGTGTACACACTCCCTTTCTTATGTTACACCTCACTTCACAAACACCCTCCATACTCAGGCCTTTTCGCGGTGTTCGATCCCTTAGCCTCATTCAGTCGAACCACAGTACCTCAAATAGTTTAAAGACGTCGTCTACGTAGGAGGGTGCAGCCGCCGCCACCCGGCTAACTATGGCGTCCCAAGACTCCGCCTCTACCTCTAGGCAGTCATACCTGCTTATTCTTAGGACGATGATGACTTCCTCGACTTTATCTCCGTAGAAGGACCCATATTTCAATGAGAGCCTATAGAACTCCTCAGTCAACCAGACATATTCTATATGCACCTTTCTCATGGAGTCGGCTACTTCTAAAATGTGCTCAACCCCCCCAAACCACTCGGCTATGAATTCCGGTACCCAAGCCGTTATCCGTAGACTTGGAGGCTTGAGTTCCTTCCATCCTCCCATCACAACTCTGCTACTAACTTCGTCCCATCCCTCGTTGGCGAACAGCTTGCCTTCCGTTCGGGTTCGGACCTCCGCATCCCCTAGAAGCCACACCGGGTCCTGTTCCATTGCTAACATGGTGCAAAACAGGTGTCATCCATCCTCGGAAAGGACAATCGTTCCAACTGACTCTACCTTGCCTTCTGCTATATCATCCCAACCTTCCTCTTCCCTTATCGGGTTCCAAATCCGTTCTATCCATACATATGACAAGTCCCGGGCAACCTCAAACCCAATCCAGTCGCACGTGGTTCCTCTCCATCCGTTCCCTGTTGGTATAGGCATTTCTATTCCTCCTCCGAGTCGCCGTGGTTCCCAGCCTTTGAAGGGGTATTTCATCATCCTTTATTCTCTAGTCATCTTTCCCTTTCCTGCACAATACCAGACCACCCGTCTTTTCTAAGTTAAGTTTACCCACCCCTCTCAGAAGTCTTAGTCCTCTATCTCTTCATCTTCGTCTTCATCACTGAAGTCGTCCTCCTCGTCGTGTACCAACTCCCTTACCCCATCTAGAAACGTCTCCCCTATTGCCACATTCCTGTAGAATATTCCCCAATGCACAACGCTAGGGACAAAGATATTGTCTATGCTAAGGCAGTTTAGTATCTCGGCCAACTCCTCCGCTCAGTTCCCCTCGAACGGCCCCATCTCTACTGATAACCGAAAAAAATCTTGCCTAGCGCATTGGTATAGCCCGAGGTTCGTCATGGACTGGCATATCCGTACTAGCCTACTCCAGGTTCCGAAAACCGCATCCACCAGGAAGGAGGGCAGCACACATCGCATGGTTCTTACGGGTCGTCTCATGCTTCCTCTATCCCCAAGTTTCACCCGTACGTCTACCTTTTTCATTTTCGTTGACATGCAGCCCACACAACCTCTGCTTCTGGCTTCCTAAATAACTCGTCCGACGTATTCCCGAGTGCCCACTCTATGATCATAGCTTTCCCCATCTTGCAATAAGTAGACCCACCCCCGGGCTTCCACTGTCCTTCGGAATTCCAAATCCACTAAACTTGGTGACAACCTCGTCAAGCTGACATTAGTCCATATTGTTTAAATCCAAAGGAAATCATTCTTTCCTTTCAGCATTACCGTTTGATACACTGGTTCAAGGTTCGTCCACGTTTCATTTTCCGGGAGGACGACCGATACCCCATCCTTTACATCTACTGGCGTTTCCGGGCCGCTAGTATAGATCGGGGAAGGCAACCATCGCGCCATCTTGTTTTCATCACCCGACCCTGTTTTCATAAAAATGCACCAACCGATCCTTTTGGTCAAGTCAATCCTTGTCCTAGATGAGAATTATTTCAGACCCCTCATCAAGGTCTCCCTACTTTACCTCCCCATTCCTAAGTACCTCCTTCCCATAATTCCTTCGACCGACCATCCAATTGCCCACATTCTTTCTCTTCGTTCCATTCCAATTGACCTCTATCCTCCTTCCTTCCGATCATCTCTCACTCGTGTTGACTTAGATGGGGGGAGGGGATATACTTAGAAATATGTCCCGTCCAACAGTCCGAGCTCAATCAAATTTTACAGAGGGGGAACACATAAAAAAATCAGGCAGCCTCACATACGGGCCGGTCATCTCCTCACCGGTCATCCCAATATGGTCTCTCCGCTGGTACTACCGGTAGAGTTTTAT